CCCCCCAAAAAAAAAAAGCACTAAAAAGTGCATTTGCGGATATCTGCCTCTACGAAAAGAGGCTTGGAGGTACTGGTCGTTTAAAGGGGACATGTACATGTTTTTGATTACATGTTTGATTAGTCGGGATGATGTCTTTCTCGGGCTGATGGGCATGTCGAAGAAGAAGCTGCAGACGAAAGGATGGGTTGCATGCGACACACGGACCTTCTAGCAGACAGTGCATGCGTTCAAATCCTACTGCATTCGGATGAAATTCGACGAATACAATATTCGATATTGTTACGAGATCACCCCATTTCAGAAGAAGAAGGAAACAGATGTGCTGACGCTATGCGGATTGTGCTTCATTTGTGTTTGTCTGTGTTTTGATTGTTGTGTGCATGAATGGCAGTTCTGGGTCTAAGGGCGATTGAGATGACGGACTCTCTGGCCCAAGATAATTAGGATTGCAGCATGGCTACTGCTGCCCCTCGGCTATCGAATTGGATGCCTTGCAGGCGTTCCACTCCTCGCGGCTTTTGGCGCTTGTATGTCTTATCCCTGACTATCAATAGAAAGGGAGGAAGAATGATTCCACTCGGCTGTTGCATAACTCACATGTTTCTGGTTTCTCATTACTTTGTCTGTGTGAGCGCAGCACGATGTTTGTGCACCTGCAAGCTGGTAGTCTGCCTGTATGCATGTGTGATTTTGGTGTTTTCCCTAGCTCTGTCTTTCTCCTCATTGCACAAATCATGCTTACGCCCTCGCCGTTCCTATATATGTATGAATGTTTTCTTTCCCACATCATTGTGCCACATGCTTGTTTGTCAATGGTTGGTAATTTGCTCTGCAAGTCGGAGAGAGTGGATGGCTTCAGCTCAGCTCCTCGTCTCTGTACGCGCCGAAGCCGTCTTCTTTATGCCGAAATGTGTTGTTGCCTCTACAGTGTGTCATCGCTTCATCTTGTGGTCCACTCTCTGATCGCATGCTATTTTCCTCCCACGTTATTGTCTCTTTGCACAGCTTGGTCAAAACACAGGTCAAGTCCGTCTCATGTAATACCATGGTCTACCTTGGGCTAGGATTTGTATGCATTCACACATGTATGGGTGCCTGCTAGCTTGCACGTGTGCACATTTGTGCGCATGTGTGCATGTGGTTCGTGTGTTTGTGTGTGTGTTTTGTACGTCTGCTTGTATGTGTGTGTGTGTGTGCGTGTGTGTGTGTGTGTGTGTAAGAGAGAGTTTTGTGCGTATGTGTGGGTGTATGCGAGTGTACTTGTTGCCCCGTGTGCCTGTGTGTGTGTGTGTGTGTGTGTGTGTGTGTGTGTGGATGTGTTTGTGTGTGTGTACCTGTGCGTGGGTGTGTTTGTGTGTGTGTG